GTTAATGGGGCAGAGAGATGTGAAACAGAATTAAAATAAAGAATGGGATCTAAGTAAAAATGTGGTGGATTTCACATGCAAAACAGTTTACTGATGGATCCAGAGTCAAGAAGAGATAAATTGGAGAGAAGGGAACCAGTAAAGTTGGGCAAGCAGGGAGGAGGTGTGGAACGGACATCCATTTTGGAGAGAATGTGATGCCAGATGTTGTCGATCTTGGAGCTAAAGAAATTTGTTGCAAAGTTGCAATGAGGCAGGTAATGTGGCAGGGAAGTTTAGCTTTAGCACTCTGCTGATGTGTCTAGGGTTGCTTTGGTTATTTTCAATGATGTCAGAGAAATAGCTGGATCAAGCAGATTTTATCGTTTCCTTAAATTCAAAGTAATCTTTCCAAGCCTGATAATGTACGTTTAGGCCAGAAAGATGCAACTTATGTTCAAGTTTCCAGGAGACTACCTTCATTGATCACAGATGGTCAGAGATAGATAAGATAAGTTCACTTGATTGGCCATATACAATTTCTTGTTTTAGCAATTTTTCTTTTCTCATACCCCAACTTAGCCACAGAGCCACCGCACTGATAAAAAGAGATGGTTTGAGTTTTTAAGAGGAGCAAAAGTCTCAAGGGTAGATAAAAGAGCACTATTAAGCAAATGTATTTTGTCCCTTAGAGCAGTGGTTCTCAAACTTTTTGGACCAAGTACCATCCTTAATCAAACCAAAACATCCAAGTACCACCTACAAGTCATCTTCTTATAGGAACCCCAGAAATTCTCAATGATCAACATGAGCGTTTGTGTGCGCACACATAATACATATTATAATAATAAACGTTATTTGATATAGTGCCTTTAAAGGTGGCTTCTCAAAGCCCTTTACAGAAAAAAACAGGAACAACAACACATAAAAATAAACAATAAAAAAGCAACATTTCAATGAGAGGGGTGAGCCCGTTTAGTCTAGCAAAGCAGATGTGAATTCATTTTTTAAGCCTTGATACAATTCACAACAGAGTCTAACAGATTTTAAATCATCAGGCATTTTCTTGACGGCAAAGGTCTCAGGGTGGATGTTGCAATGCATCCATTCATTTTCTAATTCGTGCAACTACACTGCTGTGTCGGCTTGTCATCGCTCTAGCACCATCT